GTGCAAAAAATACCACAAAGAGCACACTCGCGCGTTCATGTCAGAATCCTACCGAACACCGTGTGTTTGCAAGCATTTCAACATAAAAACATCAAAAACCCAATGCTTTTTCCACAAAAATTGTACAAATTTCCCGCCCGGGCTCTCTTGCTGAAATCATAGGAAAACCATAGGAATCTTAAGAATTCGGTCAAATCCAGCGATTTCACGTCATCGCGCGGTGCACTCGCGATGCTCTGTCATGCACCCAGGCCGCGAATCCTGTGCAAAAAATACCACAAAGAGCACACTCGCGCGTTCATGTCAGAATCCTACCGAACACCGTGTGTTTGCAAGCATTTCAACATAAAAACATCAAAAACCCAATGCTTTTTCACAAAAATGCTTTGGGGTGTCCTGTCAGACCGTCGGGCTTCCTCCGGCCACCTCTGGCTTCCTGCGGTGTACCGGGCCATTCTCGACTCGTCTGGCAATGCGTGCGCGGCATTCAACACGCGCTCGCCAGTTCCCGTCGGCAACCGCCATCGCGGCCGCATCAGCTGTACCAAACCGGCTGGCCGGTGTGACTTCGGCCCCCAGTTGTGCCAGCTTTGCTTCTTATGTTGTGGGAGGGCGGGTGGGACTGGGCATGCCATGCTTGACTCGCTCGAGCTGGCTAGCTTGACTCCTACTCCTACTCCTACTCCTATCTTATTCCTTATTAGAATATACTCCTACTCCCCCCTCAGGCCGGCAGATAGGGGCCGCATCCGGGTGGTCCCATCCTAACCTGTAAAAAAACAATACAAAATCAACATTTTTCTTATTTTTTCCTCTCGACATGGACGTCCTGTCGTCCACGGCGATAATCCATTGCAAAAAATACCACAAAGAGCACACGCGCGCGTTCATGTCAGAATCCTACCGAACACCGTGTGTTTGCAAGCATTTCAACATAAAAACATCAAAAACCCAATGCTTTTTCACAAAAATTGTACAAATTTCCCGCCCGGGCTCTCTTGCTGAAATCATAGGAAAACCATAGGAATCTTAAGAATTCTGTCAAATCCAGCGATTTCACGTCATCGCGCGGTGCACTCGCGATGCTCTGTCATGCACCCAGGCCGCGAATCCTGTGCAAAAAATACCACAAAGAGCACACTCGCGCGTTCATGTCAGAATCCTACCGAACACCGTGTGTTTGCAAGCATTTCAACATAAAAACATCGAAAACCCAATGCTTTTTCACAAAAATGCTTTGGGGTGTCCTGTCAGACCGTCGGGCTTCCTCCGGCCACCTCTGGCTTCCTGCGGTGTACCGGGCCATTCTCGACTCGTCTGGCAATGCGTGCGCGGCATTCAACACGCGCTCGCCAGTTCCCGTCGGCAACCGCCATCGCGGCCGCATCAGCTGTACCAAACCGGCTGGCCGGTGTGACTTCGGCCCCCAGTTGTGCCAGCTTTGCTTCTTGTTGTTGTGGGAGGGCGGGCTGCTAGCTTGACTGCTGCTGCTGCTGCTGCTACTACTACTACTACTACTACTGCTGCTGCTGCTGCTGCTGCTACTACTACTACTACTACAGCAATTATTATTACAGCTACGGCAACATCGACTACTAGAACTATTGCTGCTAGTACTACTACTACCACTACGACTAGTAGTAGTAGTAGTAGTAGTAGTAGTAGTAGTAGTAGTAGTAGTAGTAGTAGTACTACTACTACTACTACTACTACTACTACTACTACCATTTTTTATTGCACCTACTGCTGCTACTGCTGCGGCTGCCGCTGTCAGTATTATTACGACTACTACTACTACTGCTACTACAACTGTTATTGCTGCTGCTGCTGCTGTAATCAACGGTATCACTAATACTACTACTACTACTACTACTATTACTACTACTACTACTACTACTACGACGACGACGACGACGACGACGACGACGACGACGACGACGACGACGACGACGGACGACGACGACGACGCCGACGGACGACGTCGACGACGACGACGACGACGACGACGGCGACGGACGACGACGACGACGGACGACGCCGATGGACGACGACGACGACGACGACGACGACGCCCGCGACGACGGGACGACGACGAGACGACCGACCTGCCTGACGACGCGACGAAGACGACCGACGACGACGACGACGACGACGACGACGACGACGACGTAGAACGGACGACGCGCGACGACGACGACGGGACGACGACGACTACGGACGACGACGACGACGACGACTACTACTACTTTACTTACTACTCCGCGGCCGCCACCACACTACTACTACTACTACTACTACTCATAATATAATGGTATTGTTGATATGATTGCTACTACGATACGAATTCGACGACGAATTATTATTGTTCACTACTATATCATGGTTATCTCTCTCACTCTACTACTACTACTACTACTACACTACACTACTAACTACTACTACTACTACTATTAACTAATAAAATATAATTACTACTACTACTACTACTACTACTACTACGACTACTACTACTACTACTACTACTACTACTACTACTACTACTACTACACTACTACTACTACTACTACTACTACTACTACTACTACTACTACTACTACTACTACTACTACTACGACTACTACTACTACTACTACTACTACTACTGCTACTACTACTGTGTCTATTGTTACTAATCGCTTCGCTCATTCCGCTGGCCCGGGGCTCTTGGGGGCTTCTTGGGCTCGTTTGGGGCCTCGGAGCCTCTTGGGGCCTCTTGAGGGCTTGTAGGGGCCTCCAGGGGGGCGTGGTGTTTGGGCCGAAGGCTCGACATGTCCGTTCAGGTTCCCCCTCTCGGCCCGCTCTTGGAGCCGTCCTGGATCCCTCATGGGCCATCTTGGGGGTTTCTTGGGCCTTATTGGGGCTATCTTGGCCCGTCTTGGAGCCGTCTCGGGGGCATCTCGGGTCGTCTGGGGGCGATATTGGGGACCTCTTGGACCGCCTTGGACGGTGTGGAAGCCGAAGACGCGGCTATGGTAAAAATGGACGTTTTCCGAAGGGAATGTGACGATTTTTGTTTTTTTGGGGCCCCTTGGGACGCCGCTTAGGGACCTGTTGGGGCGTCTTGTAGACTAGTTGGGCCGTCTGGAGGCCAGGTCAGGCGCTGTGGAGTAATATTTCGGCGTCTCGGGGCGCTCTTGGACCGTCTGGGAGACCTCTTGGGGCCCTCTTGGACCGATTTGGAGCCCTCTGGGGCTCCGAAAAAGAGTTCCGGCAACCTGGAACAGGACTTGCCGGGATCTTGCCTGGACCTTGCCGGGACCTTGCCGGGAGTCTGCCGGGTTTTTTTTTTTCGTCCGGGGACCCCCAGGGCCCGCCCCGCGCTCGCGAACTAGAAATACTGTTGACCAGCTACCGGAGATCTTAGCACGCCTCTGTCCCGTTGGGCCGGCGAATTATTACTATTACTCGTATTACTATTCTTGCTGCTAGCCTACTTCGACGACGACGACGACGACGACGACGACGACGACGACGACGACGACGACGACGACGACTACTACTACTACTACTACTACCACTACTACGGCTACGACTACGACTACGACTACTACTACGACTACGACTACGACTACGACTACGACTACTACTACTACTACTACAACAACTACTACTACTACGGCTACTATTACTACATGTACGACTACTGCTACTGTCGTTGTTTTTTTGTTTTCCCCCCCTGTTTTTTATATTTCTACCACTACCACGATTACTACTACTACACGATTACTACTACTACTACTACTACTACTACCACCACTACTACTACTACTACTTCTACTACTACTACTGCTACTTCTACTACTACTACTACTACTACGACTACTACTACTACTACTACTACTAGTAGTACTACTACTACTACTACGACTACCACGATTACGACTACTGCTATTACTACTACTCGTACGCCAACTTCTGTTTTTATCATTTCTACTTCCACTCCTTTGATTACTACTAGTACTGCTACTGCTACTACTACTGCTACTACTACTAGTACTACTACTACTACTACTACTACTACTACTACTACTACTACTACTACTACTACTACCGCTACTACTACTACCGCTACTACTACTAGTGTTACTACTACTACTACTACTACTACTACTACTACTACTGCTGCTGCTACTACTACTACCCACTATTGCTATTACTGCTAATTCTACTACTAACACTACTTTACTACTACTAATTTACAACTACTACTTACTACTACTAATATGTACTACATGCTATTACTGCTACATGCTTTATACTGCTACTACTGTACTTACTACCACTACTACTACTATGCTGCTGCTGCTGCTACTACTACTACTACTACTGCTGTGCTGCTGCTACCTGCTGCTGCTACTCGACTACTACTACCACTACTACATAATACCTAATACTACTACTACATACTCACTTACTACCACTACTTTACTACTACTACTACTACTACTACTATACTACTACTAACGACATATACGACGACACGACTACGACTACGGACTACGACTACACGACTACGACTACGACTACGAACAACTACGACCCGACTCCGACTTACGACTACGCTACTACTAATTTACTACTACATTACTATACTACTACTACTATTATACTTCTACTTTACTACTACTACTACTACTGCTTGCTACTACTAATACTACTACTACTACTCATACTACGACGACGACAAGCGAACGACGGGACGACGACGACGACGACGAACGACGACGACGACGACGACCGACGACGACGACGACGACGAGACGACGACGACGACGACGACGACGACGACGACGACGACGACGACGACGACGACGACGACGACGACGACGACTACTACTACTACTACTACTACTATCACTCCTACTCTCACTGCTACTATCGATGTTTGTGCTAGGTGCCTCGTTTCGAGCGTGCTTCGCCAAGGGGGGCGCATCGTACTAGCATGTCCTTCCGCGCCCCAGGAGTTCCTCCGCGTTGTGCACGAGCTCGGTCAGTTCCGCGCGTCCCCGGGCCACATCGTCTTCGTGGCGGCCGAGGGCGGGCGCCAGGACGATGCTCGGGCGGCGAGACCGCAGCATCGTCTAACCGATCCCCATCCCCACTGGGCCATGGATATCTCCAGCCCACCTCCTCAGGCAGGACCATGCTCGGACGACGAGAACTCAGCATTGTCTGACCGACCCCCATTCCCACTGGGCCATGGGTACCTCAGCCCCACCCGCCCACACCAGAGCCCGAAGGGGGCCGCACAGATCCCCACCTGGGGGATAACTCTGCCAGAGGAGCCAGGACTGTGCCAGTGGGGATAGGGATCGGATCAACGATGCCCCCAAACTGCGGGTCCGTGCCGTGCCGACGCTGCGGCGACCCTGGTACGGGCGCTCACGGCTGAACGCCGCCGGTGGTCCCATTACTGTCCGATATCGAACGATCTGCGCTAGCGGACGGCCTTGATCGCTCGAAGTTGAACAAACCATGCGGGGCCGAAAACCGACGCCCAGGTCGTGGCGATGCAAACCTGCCGTCTACACGCGCTCCGCCCCTGGTCAGGCCCATCCAGGACCTGGGACTGGTGCACAGGGCTCCCCGGCTCAGCCTGGCTAGGCTGGGAGGGCCCGGGAGCCAAGACCCAGAGGTAACAAGCTGGGCGCACCGGGAAGGCAAGGGAGGCCCCCCCTGGCTGGTTTGCCATGGGTTCCATCCTCAAGGGCTTCAGGGCATACATAGCAGTTTCCGACAGGCCATGAGGCGCCAGAGCCGCCCCTGGCGCGCTCAGCGCGCCCGGTGGGGGGGTCCGGCGCCGATCCAAGAAATCAGCGTGGGCCTCCGAACGTTGGCGTTCGTGCAGTCTTTTCTTCGTCTGCTTGGTACTGATCCTGTGGCCAGGAGGAGCCTGGCCAGGGGCGACGAGTGTGGGCCCGCTCATATCCGCCGGCATGATTTCGTAGCTCCGCGGCCTCAGAAGCTCCGACCCCTTCTTTGGTGCAGTTGATCGTCCCGCAGCCACTGCTGATCGTCCCGTGGCCCGAGAGCGGCCCCCCGAGGGCGAGCTCGAGGGAGGCGGCCGGGATTGCAGAGGTCAGATCTTGGGAGATGCGTGGGGGTGGCGCGTGTGCGTCTGGGCCTCGTCGCCCCGGGGCCCCGGGGGGGACGCGGCCCTCCGGTGGGACCTGCGCTGCCCCCCCCCTGCGGCTGCTCGCTCGGGCCGCCCACCTTCCGGCACGCCCGCTTGCGGTGCCGGACGCCGCCTGCGCACTCCTCGTGGCAGAGGTGCTCGGCGCCTGAGGCCTGCCCTGAAGTCGGGCCTGTCCCCCCTACAGGGGGATTTTCGACGAAAAATAGAAGATACCCCTAAACAGAGTCCAAAACAAAAATAGTCTGGGGACTTTTTTTGCGTATTTTTCGACCTTTCTGGAGTATTGTTGGGGTATTTTAAATCCCCCTGTAGGGGGACACACCCGACATAAGCCTTCCCCCTCGTCCCTCCTCTGCGGCCGCCCTCCTCTTCTCCTACAGTGGGGGCGCGCATCAATAAACCATGTGCTTCTCGTGAGGGTGTCCCGGGTCTCTTCGCTCCTCGCGCTGCGCGGCGACTTCCCGCAGCCGTTGGTTAACGGGCGAAGAACGGTATAACATACACTTTTTCGCTGTCGGGGGCGCCTGTCCCTGGGCGGCTGGAAAGTTTATACCTTTACGGTGGCACCGTAGGGGTATAAACTTTCCAGCCGCCCAGGGACAGGCGCCCCCGACAGCGAAAAAGTTTATCTTATACCGTTCTTCGCTCGCCGAGTTGGAGGAGCTGCCGCGTGCAGGGTGCTCTGGGTTTCTCCTGAGGTGCACCTCGCGCGCGGGTTTTCAGGGTTGGGTTTCTTGCGCGGGGTTCTTGCGGCCGCGCCCGCACTGTGGTCGTCTGGTGTGCCCTCTGCCCCGGCGCGGCCCGCCTGCCTTCCGACCGCGTCGGTGGCCGCACCCGCCGCCGGCCAAGCAAGTGTGAGTAGGAGCTTGATTGCAGAATTGGTTTGCCCCAAACTCGAATGTGTCGTCGGGTCCACGAGACTGGCTCACGTTCTATGGATTGGTCTTGTTCGGAAGCTGGAGCATCTACATCACCAGTGGCGGGCTGTTTTTCAATCCCAGGATATCTTGGGGGTCGAGGACGTCGCTGGAGTGTTGTGGTGTATATTTTTTCCCCGATGTCCCGGGGAAGCAACGAAACATGTATACACCAGGGTCCCGTGTACACCAGGATCCGCTCTCCAGTGCAAATTCTGATGCAGGGCCGGAAGCAGCGTCGGTATATAGAGTTTGACTCCCTACTTGTAGGTTCGACGCAAAACACCACGTCGGAGTAAACCTATTGTGTGTAGTCGATCCCTTGCCGCCGCCTGGCCCTGCTCTGAGCGGTCCTGGCTTCCTCTCCCTCCCGCCCGCGCTGGGCTTCCTTTCTCCTCCTCCCGTGCACTGCGGCTGAATTCGCGCTTCGTGTGTCCCGCCAGTGCCGCGTCGCCAGGGCAGCCCCTCTGCCCAGCCGCCGACGGAAACTTGTGCAGTCGATCCCCCATACTCGAGAAGAGGCAGGTGTGGGTCCCTCGACGAGGCCCCGCGAGGGGCCGCCCCCCCCGTCGTCCTCCTCCTCCTCCTCCTCCTCCTCCTCCTCCTCCTCCTCCTCCTCCTCCTCCTCCTCCTCCTCCTCCTCCTCTCCTCCGTCGAGGAGCCTCCCGCCTCCCTGAGGACAAGGCCGTCCAGGAGCTCCGGGCCGGCGACGTGCTGCTCGCCGCGCCGCTCGGGCTCCCCCCCGGCGCCCCGCGGCCGAGCCGGGTGCTGTCCGTCGGCCGCGGCGTGAGCACGGCGGGCGTGGCGTTGCAGCTTCGGAGGGAGGAGGAGGAGGAGGAGGAGGAGGAGGAGGAGGGAGGAGGAGGAGGAGGAGGGAGGAGGAGGAGGAGGAGGGAGGAGGAGGAGGGAGGAGGAGGAGGGAGGAGGAGGAGGAGGGAGGAGGAGGAGGAGGAGGGAGGAGGAGGAGGAGGAGGAGGAGGAGCAGGGAGGAGGAGGGAGCCCCTGGCCCGTAGAACGCGCACCGGGGACGGAGCCTCGTGTTGGGCCGCCGTCTCTGCATCCGGGAGCCCATTTCTGGGGTGGTGTGGCTTTTGCTGCACTCTCGGGGGGAGCCAAAAAGGCCACCGATGCCTAATGCTCTTTGGGCATCTCAACTTTTCGGTCCGCTCCCACAGGGTTAGAGAGGGGGGGTCCTCGCGATGTGCTGGTCCCCGCGCTGTGACTGTGCGTCCCTCTTCCCGAGTAGTGTTCTGCTGGAGGGTTCCTCGTGGACGTCAGCGAGTGGCCGCGGGAGCGCCCCGCCGGGGGGGGGCGGGGGAGCCCGGGACCTTCCGGTCTGGAAGCGGTGCGGCAGCCGTGTCGCTCGATGTCATTGCGCACGTCTTCACGTTCAGCGTCTCTCCCCACCAGCCACCCCCCGTGAGCGCCGCGCGGCCCGCCCTGGCTGGATCTCCTCCCGCTGCTCTCCTGTTGTCCTTCTTGTGCTCTCTCCTTCGTGTGCAATCTAGGCTGCTGCCAGTGAGCTGTAGCTTTGGACGGCGCGCGGCGCTTCCGTTTGCGCTCGCGATCGGACAGTCTCCCCACCTGCACGATCAGAAACCCAGCCCATGAGAGCAGACAGGATACAAGGACCAAGAGACACATATAATGGAACAGAGCGGGCAACCAGAGTAAACAGAGAGATCTCTTGGAACAAGGGGATGGATTTGGAGGGCCTCTTCGGGCCATTCCTGGGTCTCGCATGAGGGCGGGGGAAGGAGGAGGAGGAGGAGGAGGAGGAGGAGGAGGAGGAGGAGGAGGAGGAGGAGGAGGAGGAGGGGAGGAGGAGGAGGAGGAGGAGGAGGAGCAGGAGGAGGAGGAGGAGGAAGGAGGAGGAGGAGGAGGAGGGAGGAGGAAGAGAGAGGAGGAGGAGGAGAAGAAGAGGAGGAGGAGGAGGAGGAGGAGGAGGAGGAGGAAGAAGTCAACGACGACCACGACGACGACCACGACGGCGAGGAAGAGGAGCAAACGGAAAAGGAAGACGATGAGGGCAAGGACGAGGACGAGGAGGAGTAGGAGAAGGAGGAGGAGGAGGAGGAGGAGGAGGAGGAGGAGGAGGAGGAGGAAGAGCAACGAGGACGAGGACAGAACCCTCAAAATCGTCTCTTGGAACCCTTTTGGGACTCTTTTGGGGGATCTTCGGGTCCTTTTGGGGCCCTCTTGGGGCTCTTTTGGGGCCCTCTTGGGGGCCCTTGACGGCCTCGTGGGGCCATCTCAGAGGCTATCGATCAAAGGAGGGGGCCATCAGCATCGCCTCTTGGGGCGCTCCTGGGGCGCTCCTGGGCCGGTCTTGGGCGCTCTTGGCGCCTCTCTGGGGCCGCCTTGGGGCCATCTTGAGGCCTCGAAAGCGCACGCGTCATTTATCTCCCCGTGGTTTTTGAAGGATGCCGGCCGGCCTCTCGGAGGGGGCCCGAGCCTCGGGGGCTCCCTCCGGGAGCCATCTCGGGCCATCTTGGGCGCCCTGGCCGATCGTGGCCCCCCTAGGAGTCCAGGGAGGGGGCGGGGGAGGGCACCCCTCCCCAGAGGGAAGGGGGCTTTGGAGGAGGGGGAGGATGACCTCGCCAGGCCGCCCTAGCCTGAAGAGCTGGCGGGATCTGTTCCGGCACCGCGCCCTCGCTGCAACGTTCGACGGCATCTCTGGTCCAGACGGCCACGATCCCTGGCACAGGTGCAGTGAGGTGCACGTGGCCGTGCTCCCACCCCTGCTCCCATCTGCACTTCTCGTGAGTTTCCTCGGAATCCCTGGTAACAGCTATCAGGAGGAAAAGAATCACACAAACACAATTAACCCTCGATTCCCCAGAAAATATGGGAAAATATGGGAAGTGGGCGGGAAGACAGAAACCCAGAAAATATGGAAAAATATGGGGAGTATTTTATTGGTGTGTATTCATTTATGTGCCCCGGGGCCCCTTCACATCTGCACTTTTCGTGAGTTTCCTCGGAACCCCTGGCAACAGCCAGGAATTCCCGTTCGACCTCCCCCTCGATCCGCCTCCTCACCTCTGCCGCTGCCAGGGTGCTTTGCACGGGTCGTGTCCGACTCTTCCTTGGCGCGGATTCGATACCCGTTGCGGATTCGTCGTGGCTTCGACGCAGAGTCGTTGTGGGTTCGATGTGGACTCGACGCGGATTCGACACAGGTAGCGCCGCGACGGGACAGACAAGATCCTCCGAAGATGCAACGCAAGGCGGGCATGTACGCGCCCCTGACTGCGTCGGGCACCATCGTCGTCGATCTGGAGAAGAAAAAGCTTGAGATCCGCGATGATGTATTGTTCCGAAGCGTCGGATCTCAGGGAAGCGACATACGCATAAGCTTTCGGAGGTCCGCGCGGGTTTTTGGGGGGCGTTTTGCTCCCCCCCCGGCGGCGCCTGCGCCGCCCCTGGCGCGCTGGAGGCACGCGGGGGAGGGGGTCCAGCAGCGCCGATCCCAAAAAGTCCGCGCGGACCTGGAAGCTACCCATCGGTCGTTGCAAGCAGCTCTTTGTAGATTTTTCCAGATTCCGATCTACTCGAAGCGCCTTCCTACTCCAACGATCGAGTGGCTTCACCGCTCCCGTCCTCCTTGGGGGGCGGATGGAGCCCGATCCACTTTCGGCGCCCTCCTACCTCCTGCTTCTGCGTATCTCTTCCGACCGACGGGTGCTGTCCCCGGACCTCTGGCGACCCGATGTTCTCCACGTGCCGCTCCGGGGGTCCCGACCCCCTCCTCCCAGGGCCAGCCGCGCAGCCCGGAGACCCACTCTGGTGGAGGGCCTCGGGGCCCACCGCGGCCCCGCAGGGGCCGAGGTCGCAGCGCAGGCCGCCGCGGGCCCGACGAGGCCGGAGCGCCGGAGATCCGGGCGCCCGAAGGCCTCCGGCCGTGCCGCCTCTTCTTCCCCTGCCCGTGGCGTCCTGGCCTCCAACTACGCGGTGCCCCTCCCGGGGCTGCGGCTGCCGCACTGGCTGGCGCACCTGGCGCTGCTGCCGGCGCGCGCCGCGCACGCGCTGCGCCGGCACGCGCGGCCGGCGCCGTGGCCGGGGCCGCCGCGGGGCGCGCGGGGCCCCGCGGCCGAGGCGGGCGAGGAGCGGCGCCGTGGAACCGATGCCTCGGGGCCTGCTGGGGGCCTTTCGATCGAGGGTCGAGGGTCGAGGTGCGATCGAGGATCGAGGTCTGTTCGGGGAGCGGGGTTCGACCGAGGATCGAGGATCGATCGAGGATCGAGGTTCGATCAAGGTCGGAGGAGCGAGGATCGATCGAGGAGTGAGACGGGGGTCAATGCAAACGGGGGTCAGTCAGAGCGCCGAATCTTGCAGGATCCTGCAAAGCCAGGGTTGCATTGACCCGGGCTAGCGCGCAGGATCCTGCAGGATTTTGCAGGATCTTGCAATGCCCGACTGGCCCGATTTGCACTGCCCTGGATCAGTGCGTCCCCGAGCCAAGAATTGGCTTCGACCAGTGGGAAGAAAGGGGCACCCTCGTCGCCACGGCTTCACGTGGCTTGACAAAGTGGGCGGTTTCGACCCCAGGAGGAGTTTTGGAAACGACCAGATTTGCCCTCGCCCCCCCCCCCCCCCCTCTTGACAGATTTTTTCGGGGCCATCTATAGCGCAGACCCCCCCCAGCCGCTTTCGACAGATCCCCATTCCCCTTGGGTAAAGGTGTCTCGGTCCACCAGCCCACCTTCCTACATTGCCCTGGAAAAGTAATCGCGCGCGGTCCGTCTCCCCGCGACCCTCAGTTTCAAAACGTTCGCGCGGGGCGCCGCGCGATCCGATTTTTGCCGCGGGTGATGCCCCCCCCCGACGCTTATTAAGAAACTCGGAGTGCGGAGAGAAAGGGTACGATGCCCAACAGCAGTTCCTGCTCATTCTGAAGAGGAACTGTTGCCCGCGCCGCCGCGGACGCTGTTCTCTGAAGACAGAACGCCGCCTGCCCAACAGCGGCTGCTGTCGGTTTTGGACGACATTTGTTGCTGTCAGGCATTGTATCAATCTTTGCCGCACCCATGTCGGGCGTTCAAAGGGGACGGCAAAGATTGTTAGATGTTCTTGTGCGTCCTGGGGGGGGGGGGGCAGGCCCCTTGGATCCTGTTAGATGTTCTTGTCAGATGCTTCGTGCTCTTCGTGATTGTTAGATGTTCTTGTTAGATGTTCTTGTTAGATGTTCTTGGATCCCTAGTGCTCTTCGTGCTTGTTGGATGCTCTTGTGCGTCCTGGATGGGGGGGGGGAAGGGGCGGGCCCCTCGGATGTTCCCTTGGCTCCGGCCGACGGAGGGCCTCGTTGGTCCTCGAGGGGCGCTCCTCTGGCCTGTGGGGCCCGCCTGCACTCCGGCCCGCGGGGCCGAGGCGCCACGCCCGTGGGGACGGGGAAACCCGTGGCACGGAGCGTTTTTCGCCGCAGCGCTGCGTGGAGGGGAGCGGAAAAAACGCGACGAAGAGAAGTAACGCCGAGGAGGAGGAGGAGGAGGAGGAGGAGGAGGAGGAGGAGGACAGTAAGGAGGAGGAGGAGAGAAGTAGGCCGAGGAGGAGGAGGAGGAGGACAGTGAGGAAAGACATGCTCCGCAGGGGGCCCCGGCCGAGCCCGGCGAGGGGCTGCACCCCGTGCCGGACTTCCTCTGCCGGCGCGTGGGGGCGCTCTGGCTGCTGCGCGCTGTGCAGCCGGCTCTGGCCGCCCTGTCGTGACGCGCCCCCTTCGGCCGGGGAGAAGTGCGCCTCCTCCTCCTCCTCCTCCTCCTCCTCCTCCCTCCTCCTCCTCTCCTCCTTCCTCCTCCTCTTTCCTCCTCCTCCTCCTCCTCCCCCTCCCCTCCTGCTTCGGCAGCGGAAGTCGCGCTTGCCTGCTCCTTTGACGCGCGCGTCCTGGAGTTGGGCGGTCAGGTTTTCGTGGGAGGTTTGCAGCGGGGGCTCGCGTCGAAGCTCAGATCGGGTCTCGTCCTTCTCATGATGGCCCCGTCAGGCCGACCCGAGTCCCCCGTACCCGGGTCTGACGTCTCCCCGATTCGGGTGCTGCCGGAGGCGTCCCTGGTGCCCAAGGCGTCCCCGCGATTTCCGGGGAGCCCCTCCCCCACTTCAGAGGAGAACCAGGTACCGATGCCGCCGCCCTGCCCTCTTCTTGCCCTTTTTGGGCCTCCCAGGCGGCCCTCGTCGCCACCGCTGGATTCGTTTCGAAATTCTGGTCAGAACGCGCTCCGGGAGAGTGCCAGGGAGCGGCCCCAGACATGCGACGTCTTGATTTTTTCAGGATGGCGTCCCTGGAAGTCCGGACCCTTTCTCCGGGACCGTTTTTCGTCCCGAGTCGTTTTTTGACGGTCCCGAGGCCCGGCGAGGGCCCCCCGAGGCTGAAAATAGCTAAACGCCGCCCGTCCTGATTTTATCACGATGCGATGATGTTTGGGGCGGTATCGGTACCTTGTTGTCCCCCCACCGCGGCCTCCAGAGCACCCCTCACGAGGTTCAGAGGGCTGCACGGGGGCTGAGGGCCCGAAGAGCTGGGGGCACCCTGGGCCTGGGGCACCTCAGGCAGCCCCTGGGCGCGGGGCCGCCGGTGGGGCTCGGCTCGGCGAGGGGCTCGCCATGGGGGAAAGAAATCGACCTCGTCGGCGACAGTGCTGTCGAAAGGGTCCCGTTCCCCATCCGTTGTGGGAACACCAGGGTTCGCAGGACGCTCACCTTCTAGGGAGACGTCCCGCTTTGCCGTCCTCCGTCGGAGGCAGGGTGCGCGTGGACGCCGAGATCGGGGCTGTCAGTGCCGTCGAGTCAAGTCAAGTCAAGCCTGGCGCCCGTACGGCGCATTGGCAGATAAAGAATTGCGCGCGCTCAATTGCGAGGGGGGGGGGAAGGGGAGGAGAGGAAGGGGCGGGGCAGGAAGGACGAGGAGAGGAAGGAAAACGCCGAAAACAATTAGAGCACGCCTGGAGGCAAGAGCGAGTAGACGCTGGAAGCTCATTGCTGTTTGGGTCTCCCTCTCTCCTTTTGTCTCCCTCATAGTGCCGTCGAGCGGGTCGAAATTCCACTCGGCTTCGCGGCTTCGGCGGGGGGGGGTCTCCTCCTCCTCCTCCTCCTCCTACTCCTCCTCCTCCTCCTCCTCCTCCTCCTCCTCCTCCTCCTCCTCCTCCTCCTCCTCCTCCATTCCTTCTCCTTATAGATAATTCCTCCCTGTCGCACCCCGAGGCCAGTTTTTAGGGCGGGCTGGGCGTTTCGCCTGAGAATTCTTCACCATGTATGATTCTGAAGCTTAAGCAGTGACCAGTTTCACAGGTGGAGGGCGGGTCGTTTTCAAAATGTGGGTCTGGCCCTAGCGCCGCGCACATTCGCTTCAAACAATTGCAAGGGGTTCGCGGATTGAAGGCGGGTCGTTTTCAAAATGTGGCTCTCGCCTCAGCGCCGCGCACATTCGTTTTCAAAACTTGCAAGAGCTTCATGGATTGAGGGCGGGTGGTTCTCAACATGTGGCTCTCGCCATAGCGCCGCGCACATTCCTTTTCAACAATTGCAAGGGTTTCACGTATTGAGGAGAATATTATTGCGAAGGCCTTACGGCCGGTGCCGCCGACCCTGAATGGCGACGACGACGACGACGACGACGACGACGACGACGACGACGACGACGACGACGACGACGACGACGACGACGACGACGACGACGACGACGACGACGACGACGACGACGACGAGCGCTCTTGGGGGCCTCTTGGGGGTAGTTTGTGGGGGCCTCTTGGGAAGCTCTTAGGGGCCGCTTGGAAGCCTCGTGGGGGCCTCTTGGGGCTTCCTGGGGGTCTCTTGGAGGGGGCCTGGGACGTCTTGGAGGCTTCTTGGACGGTCTTGGGGCTATCTTGGGCGTTTTCGGCCGATCTTTGGGCGACTCGGGGCCCTCTTGGGCCGTCTCGGGGGCCATCTTGGGCATTCGGACCTCATTTGGAGTGTTTTCGAGGTTTCTAGGCCGCCCGAGGAAAAACGAATCTGCCCCCCCACCCCCCCCGGGACCCCCCCCCCCCCTGGGACCCCCCCCGGGACCCCCCCCGGGACCCCCCCCCCCCTGGGGAAGGGATCAAAGGGAAGGGGCTTCCCTTCGACTCGATTACGACACTGCTCGATTTTTCTCTCGCTCACGAGCTTGAGAAGGAAGCTGCAGGGAAAGGGGACGACGGAGGCGACGACCGACGGAGACGACGACTCGAACAGCCAAGCCCCTCGCACACGCCGACAGGGTCGGCGGATTTTTAACATGTGGCTCTCGCCTTAGCGCCGCGCACATTCGTTTTCAACATTTGCAAGGGTTTCACGGATTGAAGGCGGGTCGTTTTCAAAATGTGGCTCTCGCCTCAGCTCCGTGCACATTCGCTTTGAACAATTGCAAGGGGTTCGCGGATTGAAGGCGGGTCGTTTTCAAAATGTGGCTCTCGCTTCAGCGCCGCGCACATTCATTTTCAAAACTTGCAAGAGCTTCATGGATTGAGGACGGGTGGTTTTCAAAATGTGGCTCTCGCCTTAGCGCCGCGCACATTCGTTTTCAACAATTGCAAGAGTTTCACAGATTGAAGGCGGGTCGTTTTCAAAATGTGGTTCTCGCTTTAGCGCCGCACACATTCGTTTTCAAATGTTGCAATAGTTTCACGGATTGATGGAGGTTCTGTTTCAACATGTGGCTCTCGCGATAGCGCCGCGCACAAGCGTTTTCAACAATTGCAAGAGTTTCACGGGTTCCCATGGTCAACGTACCAGAAATTGTGTGTGGGACGGATTCAGGATTATGCGGGTGCGACAGTTAATTTGATTCGCGGTGTTGAAGTCCCCCCAAATTGCGCTTTGGCACGATTCCGGATCGTCAAGACGCAGCAGTCAGGTTGATACGTGGCGTTGAAGTCCCGGGAACAATGTTTTAGCATCTTCAGGATCTTCAAACGGTTGTTTTCCAACGAGGCAGCTCCCTCAGTGGATATGAACCGTTGTGGGGGCCTATGGAGAGGGAGCTTGGAGGGAAGGTTCATTCCAACATCGTTGATGACTCTTGGTTTCACACTGGTCCTCCTCC